ATATATATATATATATATATATATATATATATATATATATATAGTTCCAGGATCGATTTTCTATTAAGCATTCGGCATTGGAATATGAATGCTGAACAAGAAAACGACGCATTCATATATATGTACATTTCCATTTTTGCAGTGGACTGGATGCACATGAAACCTAACTCTATGTTCGATCTGATTTTAAGCATGAGTATTGCTATGAGATAGAAAAACAAGCTGTATGTAGTGATGTATAAGGTATTAAATTGATTCGGAATTGGTGCATCGATAATAAGAACAATAAGAAGCACCGAACGAAAGAGGATTTTGTTAAGCACAGTCCAAGTGGATTAACGGTTTTCACGGCTGAATAGCTTGCAGAAACAACAGAAGGTGTAAATACTGAACGGAAGAGGCGGGATGAAGCATTATTCGTTATGAGGGGGTGGCAGTGTCCTGCCATCTTGATTATCTCTCTCCAACTAGTCAGTACGTGCATTCTCAATTCGTTCCCTTACCGAAGATGCGTTCGTACATTACGTTACTCGTCATGCGGTGAGTACTACTGGCTTACTATTTACGCCAACCAATGTAACAGAAAATGGCATACTGTTTGACCTAATTGCTCTTCTAAATTGTTTTTATGCGTTCATATCATCTTCATCGCTCTCTATTTGTGTCAGTAATGGAGCAAAAACGATTGTCTAACCGTTAGCCAAATGATTCAGCGGTAAAATTAAGTCGAAATAGTTTTAGCCCAATATCCTTCTCGTCTATAAAATCATAGGTGCTAAAATTCTGGCATCGATATTTATCCTTCCCTACGGAAATCGTCAAATAATGTTAATTTATCAAAGGCAAAGAGGAATGAACATAGCGAGAAAATTTTATGAAAATATCAAGTCAAGTAGCGCAGTTTGTTGTTTATACGCTGACAGTATTGTAAATTTCAAGTGATGCACTGTTTTTTGTAACCAACGATAGGAACAGTACACGCCATAAAAAGCCTGGCACAAAAGTTTCCTTTTACTACGGAGTTATCTGCTTATCTACTAGTCTTCTCAGATTAGCGAAAAGCGTATGGGATGTTACTTCATCAAAGTTGATGAACAACTATTTATACGTCAGTTAGTTCACAAATCTAGTGAAGTAGAACAATATTTCAAGCTAACAGATTTCCTTGAAGTCTAAATTTTTTGATGAATACTCGGATAGCTATGATCACCATTAAACCACGATGAGGCCGTAAAAAACTGCTGCTACACTGACCGCATCCGAGTTCTTACTACTGATTTTGGCCATGAAGATTTTCTTCTGTTTCAGACTAAAATATTTTGGCCAAATATCTGATTGGAGTAAGTTTAGCCCCTTCCGTAATTTATCACTTTAGTGCTCGAAAATCCTTTCCAAATCGCTTCGTTGCGCGCATTCACCATGATTAAACTCGACTCAGAAAATGAGGCGATGGAGAATGACACATTAAGTGGCAAAAAAAGCACACCTTGCCATTATATCACACTACAGTGTTCATTAAGAAAGCGAATATTGAAACTGATATTTACATCTATCAATCCTGAAAAAGCAACTATAACACCACTTAAGAATAATACCGTTTCTTAAATAAAAGAAACACTGCTTGTTGCTTAGCGTTAACAGATTCGCGATGACGTGAGTTGACCTCAGCTCTTGGGTAAGGTGAGAGGGAAGGTTAAATCGGTTGGTATGAAATGATTTTAACCAGCATTTCTCCCATTTATTTATTTTGCCCCACTGGTTTTTATCTGCCGTACTTCTCGCGTTCAGTCGGTGCTCTCCTCACCACAAACTTCGAAGAAAAGCTGTTCTAATCACTTAACAATTTAAAAACTGTCTCTTGTACGACTTTATTCACCTGGTGGTGAACCCTTGTGGTAAACTTAGCAGAATATTAGGATAACTCATAGTAAAGAAGCAAAGTCTTGTAATGTCTGTATGAAATGTTGATTTGCTTGACGCGCAAGGGAAGTGAGACCGTAATTTTTGATAATGTTTTAGAGAGGCCAAAACATTGTCTCTTTTCTGGACGCTCTTCAAGAAAATAGCCGAGAAGGTAGGTAAATGGAAAATTGCGATAAATTGCATTGAGTTGTCAAAAAGGCAAACATCATGTTGTGTGAACATTGTACTAATACCTTTCCTACCTTTCCATTTCAATACCTTTATAGCGCTTCGGTTCCGTTGTGCTCTATTCGGCTTCCACTGGATGACTTGACTGTGAAGTATATTCTTATTCCTTCTGCACCTGTCGGTCAAATATTACTGTTCGAAGTAACCACTCACATAGCGAGGCAAGTTATTCATTCATCAGTATACAGTGTCTTCAGCAGTCCAGTAAATCCTCGTCGAGCCGTACCTCCGCTGACTCAGCCACAACTGTCCTGCCACTTTTGCAGTGATTTCAAATCATAACACGTCTGTGGACTATTTTTCGTTAAATTTTTGAGAATGGACCATTCGTATGTTAGCAAGTAAAAACTTCATTATATAAAAGAGCGAAACAATTGAATAAAATTTTCAAGTTGCTCAAACCACATTTTTACACATAATAGAAGATATGAATTGATTTTAGCTCACATCAGGCTGCAAATAGTTGCTCATTCCAAGTCTTTCCCAGGACCTTAGTTCATTGTGAACTTTAACAAATGAAATATATCTCAGTAGAATCTACAGGCCTTTGCCAGCGAAGCAAAAGTCCTCTTATTTCATGAAAAAGAGAGTTTATGTTTTTCAAGACAACAGAACATCCATTTTTCTCAATTTTTTGTCGAGAGTCGTATTACTTCCAAAAGCATCATACGGTGTTCCCGGCAAGAAAAGGAAAATTAACAAATTAGAACTCCGGGTGATTGCTGATGGCAAAAAGAACGATAGAACTAGCTGAGAGACAGGCAAAACAAAGGACCCGGATGGTGTGGTGGTGAAGTGCGCTGCTCGCCGGTAAGGACAACAGTGCGTGTTCGTTCCCCACCGCATACACCTGCGGTCCGGAGTTTTGCAAATATCTCAGCATTATATACGAGTTATATTTCGCAATATACCCTGCCATTAAAAAAAAAGGCAGTAAATAAAAGGATTAAAATTAGAACTCCTTTCAAAATTTCCAAAAAGTTTAACTGTAAACCAATTTAAAGTTGAAGTATAATTTAAACAAATTTATGTGGGAAGAGCGATGAAGTCTTCCAAGTTGTCAACTCCTCTAGTTTTCGAAACATTGTTGGCAGTTTACCAAAAACGAAAGTGGTCCGTTTAATGTCAAATTGGCTAAACACTAAAAGTGAATTCGATACCAAAAAAATTGTAAGAATCATCTTTTATTTACGATATCCGACACATTACAAACGTTGTAAGGTGCACTGACATGTTGACGGAGGGCATATTCTTTGTAGAACGGAAAATTGAGAGCTGGTGAATTTGTTAGTTCTGTGAAGCATATAAACTCTGTGGATTTAGAAGTAGTATCAAAATGAACTTAGGTCCATGCTTAGGTCCAGCAAAAGAGAGTATATGCCTTGGAGGTGGACAATGCTGCACAAATTCAACGTGCTTCCAATCTGAGGCATGTGGCCCTAACCCGGCGTGTCCAGAAAATTTTTGCTAGGTGAGTTACCACAAAACTGTAACACTCAGCTTTGAATAGGCAGAGTGATTTTCTTTTACTCGGTCCTATTTTTATCAGTACCTGTTTTTTTTACTGTATTTTTTTGGCGGTTATTACAGATTTTGACCAAATGCATTGCCCAAGCAGGTTAAGCCAATTTTGTTTGGTCCCTTCTTCACCTGTACGCACAACTCGTTAATAACAGCCATAAGCGAAAACCACCAGCAGTGGCAATGACGCGTGCTAGTGGAAAATTTATATTTACACGTTACTGCTTATGTTCTTCTACATTACACTGGTTATTTTCACCTTAAATCGGCGAAGTGAGAATCATCGTTAAGAGTTGATCTTTGTTCATTTCCTCCATGGCGTCGATATACGTGTGAAATGACGCAACTCAGTTCACAAGCATTTTCGAAAGAACTTTCAGGTTATGAATGTACCAGGTATTTGTGTCGCGAAACTGCTAAGTCGTATTAGTGGTGAGCTTTTCTTAAAGTTTCCGTTATATAAATAAATAAGGTGAACAAAAAACAACGGATGATTGAAACATAATGAGAACGAGATCCTTTACATTGAAAATGCTATTAATAAAGGGTGCTTTGTGCACAAGTTTATTTTTTCTCATGGTTCTATGATAAATCTGGGAGAGCGAACTAGTGATGTATGCTTTTCATTTCTTTGTGATACGATCGCGATAGCTTACATTGCAGACCAATGCGATAGAAGCATGCAGTGTTTATGAAAGCATCGTACTGACATCGCGTTGCAACGATGGAGTCTCCATAATATCAATGAAGACATAAACGGTATTGTAAACATTTCTTGAAGGACCTGTTTTCATAAATGATAAGTATGTACATAAGCTATAGAAGAAATCGACTGGAGCAGCCACATTTATAAAAAAGGCGAAAATACTGAAGCAACAGCCGAACCCGCACTCAGAACATTCGAAGTCTACATGAATGAAGGATGCGAAAAAATGAAATGTATCAGGAGTACCATGAACTGCAAAATAGTTGTAAAGGAAAAAATTCATTAAAAGGGTAAAACAAGAAAAACCCTTCTAGTATGCCCAATTTTGGCAGACCAACATTTGTTCCGGAATCTTTCGTAAACGATGCAATGGACTGAATTTGGCAAGTGATTTGTCCCATAACATGCTCGGTGGAACGCTCAATTTTCGGTGTCTACACCATGAAATGACCTCTAATTCTTTGCACATTACACATTACACTGAACTCAATACGCATTGCCCTTTCTGAGGAGATTTGCAAGTGTCCCCACAATCGGTACCCTGTATAAAGAGACGGACAAATTTATCCGAGAAACAGGTTGCTGCCGTTTTTTGTTCAGCAATTGCGAGGTTGTTATACAGCGTACATTTACGTCCGTACAAAAGCACATAGTAGCTGTGGTTTCGGCAGTATCACCTTCTTTAAAGCCCTGGTGGGTATATTGATATGCAATTTACTACGCCAAATGCTTCAATAGCACATACAGAAAGATGAAAATCAATATGGCAATCACATGGTCAACAGCTTCTCGAAAAACCTACGTTTTTTACGTGCCTTCCACTGAGAAATAACAGCTGATTGGAACCGGATATGGTTGATGACTGCACCACCCCACATCAAAAGTCGATGCAAAGGTAGGGGACGAAATCTTGTGTGATCTGTGGACATTGGTCGCTTCTAGGAATATTGGCATTTATCCAAAAACCCTCAAGAATTTTACGCGTTGGTGTTTTGGCATCTTGTGCCAGGATAGTGACTTTTATGTCAAAATCGTCTCTCCTATGGTTTTGTATCCTACGCGTCCCTGGTGGGGTACTTTACCTCGCGTTTCGTTTCCTATCTATGTGTTCTTTTGTTTCGATAAATAAAGGGTTCGCCAACGTATTAGTCTCCATAAGTCCTACAAGAGATTACGTATATCGTGCGTGAACTTGTGCAGTCACCATCCCTGGTATAAGAGCAAAACGGGATTTTCTTTAGGTTAAGTCTTTGGTTCTAAAGTGTCGCTGTCCTTCTGAACTCATCTCGTGGTGTTGCTATTTTGAAGTCATTGGAGATGGCTAATTGCCGAGCGAAGTCGCGTCATTCCCCTATAGTCACCCCACGAGATAACTCTAGAAAGAGAGCGACACTCCAGAAGGAAAAACTTAGCTTGAAGAAAATCCCGCTTATGTTGTCCTTCATTAGAGATGAAGTTAGTGTAGCCATAAAGCAATCCTTAACAATGACAGATGTAGAGGAATTAGCAGCGATAATTGAAAAGCCGCGGGATACTCCTCGCCGTCAGATTGTTTGTAGCCATCTATATGACCGTCTGTATGAAACACAGAATTACGCAATTTCAAATGGCAGCGACGATGATTGCTTGAGCTCAGGTACGATATACCTGGTCTCCTGCAATACTTTCGGAGCCGAATATATTATATTAATATTATTATATTATAAAATATTATATTAAATATTATATTATATATTGAAATATTATATTATATATTGGCGAAACGGGTAGACCTTTATGTATCCAAACAAAAGAAAACATAGATGGGAAACGAAAAGCGAGGTAAAGTACCCCACTAGGGACACAATTGATAGAAAAGCGTAGGAGAGACGATTTTGATATAAAAGTTATTATTGCCGCACAAGACGCCAAAACACCGTTTTCGAGGGTTTTTGGATAAATGCCAAGAACCCTAGAACAGCAGGGAGGAATGCCAAGAAACCACACGTGACCTAGCCTCATATTTCAGAATTTATTTTTGATGAGGGGTGGTGCAGTCATCAACCACTCGCGATTCTAAGCGGCCGTTCTTCAACGATGGAAGACACGTAAAAAAGGATGGGTTTTGAATACTATATAGATTTCAGTCTTTCTATGTGCATTATTGAAGAGCTTGGCGTAGTAAATTGCATATCAGTACACCTCCTACGCTCTGAAGAAGGCGATACTGCCAAAACGTCAGCTACTGTTGCGCTGTATGAGTTTTTGCATTGATGTAAATGAATGCTGTACCTTGCGACTGCTGAACGATAAACAACGCATTTATAATCCAATGTTCAGGTTAATAGAAAGTCGATCCCAGGAACAGACTGCTGTAATCTCTAAACTAAAAAGTGTAGAGAAAATAGCCATTGAAGATCCCCGTACAGCAGAAGATTTGTAATGTAGAAGCCGTAACCAATTGAACAATATTGAAAAAACCCCTCCTTGATTAAACAAACCATCGAAAAGAGACGAATTTAAACCAACACACAATTTTCAGTGTGCACTCAATAGCACACGAAATGCGCATTATCGCGAGCATATTGAAATCTGAATTTAAAAGTTCGTTTTATCACAGATGGCTGAGAAGTATCTACATCATCCGCAATGATAGCAGTTACTAGGTGAGGAGAGTGCGTGTGGCGCAGTGGTCGGAGGCGCCCTGCCACACGTGGAATCGATCCCCACGCCCATGGTCCACCAACCCTTTCAACCATCCGTGATCGACAAAGTGGTACCAGACTTGTCTGGGAGTATAGCAGCACTGGCTCGATACATCGATAGGTCACCGCGAGTCATTGTAAAAAACCAGATATGCATTCAATCGCCTCCAAACGATGCTTAATGAAGTCGAATGCATGGCGCATTCCGCAGGGATTGATCAACGTCGAGAGCTTTATCCTTTACCCTTTAGTGGGTGACGTCGTTTGAAGGAAATGAAGAACATTACAATTTTTGTTTCGAACGTTTATTTTTATTGCTTTGAGCAAGTTGATAACCACAAGCAGTTTGATGATGTGGAAAATTGGGTGTAAATTACAAGAACCTTTTTCAGCTCTAAAGGAGGATCAGAACTGGAATTTATCGTACGCAGCGACCAAACCGCTAAACAAAAGATCCTTGTCCATTGTCTGTGAAAAGTGGAAAGATTTAGAAATGAGAAGACAACTTATGGTCAGGATTCAATGTTAGTGAGCTTAAGAATCTAAGAGTTAGACTTGAAAAGGCAGTGATAGGAAGTCATACACGTGCTGAGAGATGATATTCAAAGCTAAAGAAAGGCAAAAAGGAGAAGAAATCCCAAACAAATACGAGTAGAAATTGCAGTCTCAGATTGCGTTGGAATAATCGAAACCGAAAATTGGTCGTAAAGTGAATGCAAAAATACCGCACTGGGTATCCATGTGTGATACTGTCAAATGAAATTCAAAGGAAGATTGAAGTAGGAGCACCAGATCAAGAATGGCATATGGCCCGTAAATAAAATAATAAATACACACACTAAAGCAGAACGGTATTAACAACTCACGCACGATTTCACCAGGTCAAGTTGTTCGAGCACCCACTTCTGTGTTCGAGCGCTTGGATTCGAAGGAGCGAATCACCGCCTTCTTCGGTAACGCTTCTTCTTTACATCGGAGTTGCACGGCTCTGGAGTAGAAGACGTTCCGGACCGTTGAAGATCGTTGTACCCTTGCTCTGTTGATAGGCTAACCAATGGAGGTGCATCGAGAGATTTTTGAATGCCAATTTTCTTGTATTCCTTCTAAAACGCGTTTTTATAAATAAAACATGATATCTATTTATAGGAGTCTTAATGCAAGCTAAAATTTGTATAGCTTGAACGAGTCATCTAACTTTACTTGAGCTGCTAATACTGCTACTGGATGACTGTTTTAACCAATTCTTGCCAAAGATGGAATTTATATTGCACCAAGACCAAAGCAGATTTTAGCAGTTAAAATCTTCAAATTTTTTTTAAAACGACAACTGTATCCCAACGTAGAAAGATAATGTTGAACTGGGCTCACTCCATTACGTATGGATTTTGAGAACTATCCAACTTCTACTTTTTGACTAGTGAAAGGAGTATTTAAACGAAATGTATAAGAAAATACACACTTTTTATCTACTGCACACTGTTTTTTCACTTCACGGTATTATCCTAGATACAACCATAATGATTCTGAGGTATTTGGAAAACTTGAACTACAGATCAGACTGAACCACAATTACCCTTCTCGGGGTTCATGTCTTATGCACGGCACCACTGAGGCCTTCGTTCTGCCTTTCTCTCGGTCAGTGTTTTCACCCTAATGGTGTCATCAGCAATCACCCGCCAACAGGAACGATTCCGGGAGCACAAATCGGCATTGAACTCAATTAAGCTGAGTCTATAGTCGAAATCACAACCCTTAACTTTTATCTACTGCCACTACTTTTTCACAGTGTGGTATTATGTTAAATACAACCACAATGATGCTGAGATAACTGGAAAACTTAAACACAAGTCAGATGGAACCATGATTACCCTTTTCCGGTGCTCATGTGTTATTCGTTACATCAATCAAGGTGCTTGTTTTGCCTTTCTCTTAGCCAGTTTTCTACCCTATCAGTGCTGTGAACAATCACCCGTCAACAGCAACGATCGAAGAGTACAAATCGCCATTGGACCCAGTTAATCTGAAGTTTTTCATTAAATTTCCACGATATTTGGGCGGGTTTCGTCAGTGTATAAACGATTTGAATTGAAGAATCCATGAAATATGAATGACAGAACAGTACGCGGGTGTGAGCTACTACATTGGCTGGAAACACTTAAAAAGTTTTGTCATACTTGTACCATGTAGACACGATTAGGATAAAAAGCGAATTCTGCAAAACGGTAAGAATTTGGTAAAAACAAAACAATATTTCGAAAACTGGTTTCCTTTTAAAGCCCGTATGACTAATCAACATGTATTCTTCTAATGATAACCTAACACAATCAACACGACATTCTTTAAAAAAAACTTTATTCGGCTAATATTTCAGCGCCTTCACTTTCCTCAGAGATGGATCGATCGAAGTCGATTGGCCACAGTTTTTCCTTCTTTCGATGTAGGTCTTCGTGGACGCGTGGAGTCGATCATTGCTGGAATGATGCCGACTGCTGGAGGATGTATTGGCGGGAGAAAAGCAAGTTGTTTTTCAATGGATAACCACTATTAAAAGCAACCGTCCTGTATACGAGAGCATTGGCGAGTGAGATTTCTTCATTCTAACGGTGGTTTACTGGATTCGACTCAGTACTAATACAAAAACCTACATCAAAAAAACTAAGAACTGTGGATAATCGACCCAGTTCAGCCCGGATCTGAAGAAAGCGACGACACCGAATCTATAGTGGAATAGAGTTTTTTCAATAACATCGCGCTGTCTCATCATTGCAAGAATAAAAATAAAAGTGCGACATAATAAACATACTCTGCAATGAAAAAAGAATAGGTAGTAAATAATAAGTGACTACATTGTGATTTATACCACAGCTTCAGCATAACTTGACTAAATGCTCATTTGTGATGCCCAGACCTGCCTTGTCGACGGGTGATTGATCACAGCAAGTATAGGTTAAAATACAGCCGAAAGAAAGGCAAAATGAAGGACTCGTGGTGTGGTGGTGAACACGTCAGCCTCCGGAAAGAATAATAGCTGATTCGATGTCCACCGAAGATACATGCGAACCAGAGTTTTGCAAATATCTCAGCATTTTTGCGGTTATATTTCGCATCATACCCTGTCAAGAAAAAAGAATAGGCAAGAATAATAAATGGCCTTTTTTATTTCTTTTTATTCGACCCGTTTTCACTTCTACTGTGCGGATCCCGGCACTTCTCACATTCTATTCGTTTCCAGTCATCCATTGACCACGAAGATCTCCCAACTTTACGTGTGGCTTCGGTTGCTGCTTGAGGATTTTCATATCATCTTGAATGTCGTAGAATGCTGGTCGAGCATTTCTCTTGGAGCCTTCAGATATCTGGACTGGAGCGTTCTCAATTGGATTGCAGAGTAATTTTTTCTCAGACAAGTCTGGTATCAGTTTCCCGAGTCCGGAGGGATAAGAGGCTCGATTAGATTGGAGCAAAATCGAACTAGCACCATGCTTGTGATGACAGACATGACTATCCCTGCGCTGTCCGCCCCCTAATAAGTAATTACATTCTAAAAATAAAACTAATCATCAGAATGTGCCATTAAAAGATCTTGGTTACTGCATATTGTTAAGAAGTATAGATCTGTCGGGGAATGGATGATGCAATATTCGCACGCTTGAATGGGGACACATGTATACACGTATGTCATGTAACAATTCAAATGATAACAAAACTCTGCTGGTCCTTTACAACTTCAAACTTTAGAGATCTCAACAACTACTCATCCATTAAGGTTAATCCATGCCGTAAAAAGTTCTCACACTTGAATGATTCGATAGCTTTCCATCTTCTAGCCGGTCTATTGTTGCAGCGTCAACCTGATGCCGATGGCGTTCTCGCTTCCTTCGCCTCTCATTACGACGAGCTTCTCGTTCAAGAAGATGTCGTTGATGGTCGATTTGTCTCGCCAGCACATTTGTTAGGCAAATCGAAATGCACTGAGAAGATTTCATTGAAAAATACATTACATAAAAACGGTGGTTTATCAAAAATGAAGGAAGAATCGGAATATCAACGGCTTCCTAAAAATTTTCACTATTTTCACAATATGTGCATAATATTTGGATTCTTGGATGACTTGTCGTCACCGATTGTGTGGACACCAGCATAAGCTCCATGGTATAGGAGTTTTGTTGATTTAGCCATTGTGGCTCCCTGGAGTCGCGAGGCCCACCCGGCCAAAGTCTGCTCCAGATCGTCTCCACCACAGACAGATGCCGCCCTTGTGGATTACAGGGAGATTTTCCACAATGCGCTACTTTGATACCAGGACGGTGGCAGATCCTGATGTTGGTTTACTCTTAGCTGGGGTTTATAATGGAAACGCCGGAGCCCTTCTCAGCTTGGGGGAAACTGCTGGGTGTATGCACTCGCCCGCTGTACACTGCCGCTCGATACCCAGGATCACCTCCCAGCCACAATGGGGCGGTAAACCGTTGGGAGGTATGTGCATAATATAGGTGAGGAACTTTAAAACACCATAAAATTTATGGCAAGTAAAAAATCATGCCGTTACGATTCACATAAATATTATGAGCAGATTTGAAAAACATATTCTTTAATGTCAATTTAGTGAGGTTGAGTTCATCGATCTAAACTTGTTCACGAACTAGAAGGTCTATCCACTTCGTATTTAAAAGGAACTTCTCTATCGCTCTATATAAAAAGCAGGCTTCGAAGGACAGCCCTCATCACACTGGTTTCCTATTGTTATGGAACAGTTCTGGCTTTCGTGGATTTTAAAGTGCCTGGTAGCCAGATGTCGCCTGTATTTGTTTTGAGGCATGAGACGCCGCCTCGGATGCAGGTTGTGAAACAACGCTTACCACGTATGGCTTTTCTCTCAGACAACTTCACCCGGTTTTGTGGTCTCCATTGTTTACAGCAGCAAAATCAGAAAAGAAAATACATGATGGACAAATAAAGAAGCAAGATATGAAAAGAACTTCGTTGACGTAATAGACTCACAACAGGAATGATGACTATGGTTACAGCTAAGCCAATATGAATGGCATGTGACTCAAAAACAGCTCGAAGTGGTTGAAGGCATCCACGAGTGTAGATATCGTGCTCGAGATCCTGAGGTCGTTTGTTCAACGTATTCTGCCAACATTCCAATGATCGCATGGCAGGCAGCAACGGATTCGATAAACCAGCCTAAACAATAATTCGTTTACTTTATAACAGCGTAGCGTCGTAGGAGGGACATACAAAAGTGGAAAAATGGAAAAGAAGTGGATTAATGAGGCCAATTGTCCCGTGAAAACATTTGACCCACTATAAAAATTGCTATCTTGCTTTCCGAGTGATCAAGATGTTAGTTTTTCTTATTACAATGCAGATATGCTTCTAAGAAACCCTCCGATGAATTGAACAACAACAAATCGACGGCTTCAATATCATGGAATATTGCAGTTTACTGGTTTAAAAACAATTGTCCCGGCCTAACGGAGGAAACCATCCGTTCAGAAAAGACTCTGCTGGAAACGGGACATTTAGCCGCTATATAAAGGATAAAGGATAAAGCTCTCGGTGTTGATCGATCTCTTAGGGATACGCTATGCATTCAACTCCATTAAGCAACGTTTGGAGGTGATTGAAAGAGCATATCTGGCCTTTCCACTGACTCGCGGTGGCCTACCGATGTATCGAGCCAATGCTGCTATCCGCCCAGACAAGTCTAGTACCGACTTGCCGACACCGGAAGGATGGAATGCATGATGAGCCATGAGCGCGCAGGTCGATTCATTATGCGTGTCGCAGGGGGCCTCCGACCACTGCGCCACACGCACCCTTCGCTACATAATAAGAGTTAATTTTGCCATGATAAAATAAATGCAAATATTGAGAAGGAAGTTCATTGTTATTACATCCTCATCTCACAGATCATGGCATTTCTCAATTCCTAACAGTTCATTTCATATGCGAGACTTACAAAAACGGCGTCATGGCCACACAGGCAAAGACCACCATTATTCCAATCTGTAAACTAACCGCTTCAGAAATGACAGATTTCCGACAACAAGAGAATGGAACACCGCATTTCTCCGGTTGCGGATTAGCTATCGTACAGTTGAACTGATAACTGAGATTCCAATCTCGATAACCCTGAGCGGCAGACGATACGCCACAACATTCCAGCTGCAATAGTTTAATGAGAGTTTTGGACAAAGCGTTGTGAAGAATATAGACGGTGCACTACCATAGCTGTTCGATTTCCAATTCATAAACAGGTTTACTGTGTGAAGTAGTATCTGCTATGCATAGATACTAAAACAACATCCTTAACAAATAGAGGGCCACTCGTATTGAATGGAACACATGCATTGCGAAAAACAGTGGTCGCTATCAACCAAAGTAACTAGAGCCACATCATAATTTAGTTCACAGCTAGCTTATTACTTTAAATGAAAACCATTAAAATATGCCTCTAATAGCAGGATAGAAGTTCTATTGTTTTACAAGTACAAAATTATAACATTCAGAGGCCAATAAAACTTGTTTTCAGCTACTCTTCGTCGAAACTCTTATTTTGAAAGCTGAAGCTACTGAACACACCGTTTTTCGTTTCATAAGAGCGATGATGTTCCCATTGCATTGTTGATCTTCGTGGTTACTACGCTCATGTTATAAATTTTAATAATCCAAATCTAATTGGAAATAACCCTAAGACGGACTTTCACTTAATCTAGACACTGATCAAGAATTCACTGCTTTCTTGATGAGCAAATATGAGGCTGTTATTAAAGCATTTACTAATAGACAGTAGGTTCGGTTTCGGCCATTTCGCCTTCTTCAGAACCATTTTCTGCTCGTGGGTCCTCTAAACCAGCCACACGGAGCCTTACATGGGCTAAATTTAATTGTTGTGAAAAATTTCAAAGACGAAATTGTGCTCTATAAGAAACTACATATGCTCTTACGATGATAGATGAAAACCTATTGAAGAGCTCTATCATGTACTAAACGCCTTAGCTACTTTAATAGTTGAAAAAACATAGAAATATGCTACTTATAATAAATGCATTGAGAGACCCCAGTTCTATGGACCACATTTTTGCCAACTGTAAAAGCTATGAACAATCTGTCTTTCCACATTAATTCGCCACATTTTCTATACGAATTGTTTTGCGTGGCAAGTGAGATCGATTTAGGAAATGCAAAAAACTATTTTAACTAACACTAACTGAAGTAAACTCTTGGTGGAAAGCTAAAGGATCGATGCTCCACGACCAGATTCAATCTCACTTACCAGACAAAACAGTCATATAAAAGGCCTTCTCGCCGAATTCATTGGCCAGCTGCAAAATTGTCACGGAATTTAACACAGATGTTACAGAGATGTTCATGCGGTTAACGTTTCGACGCTTTCATGTTCCTCAGAGCTAATGACTCGAGTCGATGGAGGATAGACGACTTGACAAATTATTATCAACGGATAATCATTATCAACAACGCCCTGTGTAAAAGAGCGCAGTCGGGTGCAGTTGACTCATTCGAGCGACGCTCCACTGAAGGAGGTCCGACTCAATACGATGATAGAGATGGCACATCAAGAAGACGAACGACTATGGATCACCGGATCTGATAAAGACGACGACGTCGGAACGTTACGCGATACTATTTATACGTTGAAGAGGAATATGGAATAGCTAGGAGATCGACCAGTATTATGAAAGTTCTCCTACTATTCTTCGTGATATATAAAGGATAATGCATGATGATTAACATGCAGTAGTAAATAAACAATAAGATACATTAGCTGAAGTACTAAATGACGCCCATTTAAAACCTATAAGTTGCTCTTATATGATAAAACTTACATTTTCCTGCAGAGAGTCGACGATTTCAGCAAGGTTACGATTCGTGTGATAATTCTTAATCGCATATACTAATACGCCATGAGCGGATAAGCCTTCTGTAGTGTCAGAATAGAACAGCACAAAAAGTCCGAATGTTGTTAGCACAATTGCTAGATAGCAGAAGAACACACATATTGCAAACTGAAATGACTCAATACACATATGTGGGAATACGGATGAAATACTTGTCTTAGTTATTTTGACAATAATGTTCGTTTCATAACCGCAACACAACGAATCGAGTACGAAATATGTACACTTCGTGATATTCAGTAGAAGACGTTCACCCCCTCTTCATCACATGCTTGTTTATTAGTTAGTTATACACCATTCTACACGCGTAGAAAATATGTCGAAGATTTGCTATCCACTGTTCAAACGGTGTCATCTAACTGATATCTTTACAGAAATTCAAAAACCTCAGCCGGTTTTTTCAACAGATATGTGACTATGCGGAACTTTGTTTGGCGAACGTCTGCCTAACAATCACGTGAAGGTGATTTTTGCAAATGCTCGAAGGTAGATAAAAACACCTCATGAACCTCGCCTGAGATAACACCTGTGTTGCACCAACTATCGATTGATGAGAAAAATTACAGCAAATAAATTATTTGCGTTAGAATAAACATTTGGAGAGGACATGTACTGAAGTCAATACATATGACCCACTCTGCTCACAGATGCATACAATGATATCTGTGCACATAGCCAATTATGTTTTAACTCTGCTATAATGCTTCCCTTTGAAGGCAATACATTTCTATGTTTTTGTTTGCTTAATTCTAACGTTTAATTGCTATTAATGGATAAAATTTTTAAAGTACTAAGATATAGTTGAATGGAATCAATAAGTAGGAATGGAAATGCTCACCACTTTTAATAAAAAGATGTTATCTCGTAAGGCACCAAGTGAACCAATCAAAGACACAATGCTTATGCAGCATCCTTAAAAAAATTCTGTAGACTGATTACATTTAGAAGGCACAAAAGAAGAACAAAGCTTCGATGTTTCAAAGGTGTATGAGATGTGAAGAAACAGACTTGTTGAATTCGGCAACGAACTGGCTATTGTGGTATTATACCGTCGTAAATATAACTTGCCGTGATTTTGACTTCTACAAGTTTCTACGATAACGGATGACAATGGTCACTATGTTCACCAATAAACATTAATTAAACTAGTTGGTATCAATTTCCCAAGAGCATAGATATGTTCACAGTAAATTTCACCACTCTCTTTCTAATCGCCTATATTAGACATACATTGAGAGACTTTCATGTAGATTTAACTCCATGGAACAGTTTGCACAAACTAGTTACCTACTACCTCCCAACGGTTTCTCGCCTCAACGTGGCTGGGTGGTGTTCCTGAGTGTCGGACTGCGATGTACAGCAGGGGGATTCATCCACCCAACAACGCCTTCCAAGCTGAGAAGGAGTTGGCATTTCCATCAGGAAGCCTAACTACGAGTTAAAAATACCAGGATTCATCACCGTCCCGGTATCAAAGGCGCATGGTGGCAAATCTCCCTCTGATCCACAAGTATTGCCACTGCCTGTGGTGGTAAAGACCTAGGGCAGACTTTGGTCAGGCTGACCTCGAGATTCCAGGGAACCACAATGGGCTGACCAGCAAATCTCCGAAAAATGGTGATTATGCTGGGGCCCTTACAACCAGTGAGGACGGGTCATTCAAGTATTAAGTTCAAGCTCAAGTTACCTATTAAGGCGAGCAGAATCGCAGGATTGAGGAAAACATCGAGCAGTTTGATTTCACCAAAGTCCTTGACGAATAAGTACACACCGAGAACAAATATTCCAACGCCGCATAACTGAAAGAAAAACCAAATACGAAGATAACGAAATGACGTTAATGGCGTTTCTCACTAAATGAAATGCACATTATTATTGCAACACTCACATTATATTCTGATGTTCGCCCTCATTATTGATTTCAGATTACAAACATTTCGAAAAAAGCTAGCAGTTTTTTGTGAAAAGCACCTAAGTAGGGCCAAATATTACAAAACCTTGTGTCGATTTCACTGTACACCCTTTAGAACAGCTTACCGCTGCAGCGCAGCAAGAAGGTGGGTGTTCTGCTGGGTGTGGAATCGCGATTTGCGGTAGTGAACACATCCCTAGCCGGACTACACGTGATAATAAGGTGTTCAAGTTTTTAATCACGTATACGAATATATGGGATTGTGTAATGCCGTTCTCAAAGATTACTTGCAATACATGTATAGTCGTTGGTTCAACTCTACGCCCGAGACTAACCAATCCTTTAAATACCATGCACTCGTAAAAGTGATTCCACACTTGTCTGGAAAAAATAATGACTGTATACACCAGTAGGCCTCTGAAATTCATCGCAGAGTCCACCAAGAAAACCCACAAACACCTCTACTATGCTTAATGGAGTTAAACGCATGGCGCATTCATAAGGGACAGATCAACGCGAATCCTTTGTGCTTTTAGGCTTTTATACGCAAAAACTTTTCGGTTTTATTTTCAATATAGTCAAGGAAACTAATTTTGCTACAAATTCTTCCTTATTTTAGAAAAAGTTGCATCAAATAATTTGCAGAATATGAATGGAATAACGTTATCGTGGGGGATCCAGCTGACTTGAACGATCGAATCACAAGAGTTGTCTGTCGGCAATTCCTTTGTCCCTGACAGGAATGCGGTCACAGAATATTGGCAATTGCAAGACGATGCTTGAGTCGCGACATAGCAAACACGTAAGAGCGCGTTGGTGATAAAATGAATCGAGTAACAAAACAACAATGACACTTACAAAGACCAGAAAATTCGTCAAGAAGATGATCCACTTGAGACAGGCTGAGATTTCCTGCCGTGGCTTGCGCTTCATGTGGTGGGCGCGCGACTCGACTTCTGACATCAGATGAGAGCCCTCAAATTCACCCTTATATCTCTGTTGGCTGAAAATTCATTTTTTAACAAAATGGAGTTTCAAAATTGGAAGCAGAGTTCACACCTATAAACTTCTTTAGATCTACTTGAACATCCTGACCATTGACGCTGCTCACTTGTTCAAGTGTGAAAAAATTAATAGTTTTCAAAAACGATGAGCACAGGTGAAATATTTTTTGCCGATTTGTTCATTAGATACTTTTCTGGTTCGCACTAGTACTATATAATAACGCAAAATTTCTATCTGTGGTATAACTATGAAGGAAACACCAATAAGGTAGTGCATTGCTGTTGAGTTAAAAAGGTTTTAAATGGATACTTCAAGCTATTCACATGTAATTCCGAAACGATTTTGTAATAGGAACATGATAAATTAGTGATACTCACAGTATGACGAAGGCATGCACCAACCGTACGCAACTTATCGTGTCCCTGAAGCTCTACCCTAGAAAGAACCCTTAGAAATGAGTAGATAGCGAATGACCAAAACGATCAATGTGTACCACTAATTCAAACGTCTAAACTCTTATGAAAACATCTGAAGCAAATTAATACGCAACATAGGATAAGTACAAGGATCATTACATGAATATCTTAGAGATACACTTCACACGACAACCTGCCAAATAACGAACGCTCAAAAAAGATTTTCCCATGAAAAAAACTAGTTTCGACATACTGAATAGTACTCCACATGGTTTTCTGTTAAGAAATAGAAGTTGCATTACCTTTCGTATATGAGGATATTCTGAATCCGAAAACAAATGTTCTCATGCAAGCAACACAGCTGTTGAACGAAATATAGGTAATATTTAGTTAAAAAAAAAAGAATTCTGATAACTAAAGTCTACTTCCAACGCAGTGTTTTGTTATGGAAAATTGTTGCAAGCTCCTACACTACATAAAGACGAATTTAAGGTTCCAAAAGAAAAATCATCATATGGTTGGATAGTCTTCCTCATTATCATTGAAGTTAAGGTAATGTTTAAAAGAGTTAAAGAGTAACTTTCCAATCAGATAGATTATCATAAGGTGAAATGGTAGTAACATTTGCGAAGGGAATCCAAAATTTTCATTCGAAAAAGCAAGCCAGAAAACAAGATCTACTGTGAACTAGCTCGGCAGGTAGTTGAAAATTTACAGGTTGGAACGGAATTCTTCGCAAGAGTTTCGTTTAACAGAAAAATGACTATTCCATGAACACCAAATAATGGAGACCGAACGGACTCATTATTACAATATAGACCGAAAAACCGTTTATACTACTGGAACTCTAAACCACTAGGTTTCATACTTTCAAAAAGCTCAGGTTGAAGAATTGTAGTGAGCGAAGAGAAAGAAACTAGTGCTGAAATAACTGAGCATAATCAACGCAAAAAATGCTACGAATGCTTTCATCACATACATCTTTTTATTTGACAGGGAAAAGATCTAGTGATATATTAGAATATCTGTTCCTTTTCTTCTTTCTCTTTCACCACACACAAAATAAATCTTTACCAAAGTTTCGTATACGTTTCAAACTTGCGCGCAAAGCACTTCTATGTCATGATCCTGTTCTGAAATCTTACTATATTTATGTTAGACCAAGGCGTGGTTAATATTTGAACACTGTCAGAGTTGAAAGGATATAAGAAGGGAAGAGAAAGAATAGAAAGAGAGAAAAAAGCGTTTCATCAACGTAAATTAAGAAGCAAATCATAACAATTCAGAAAGGTATGGAATCAAAGTGAGCATCTCGTGGGTGTACAAGTTAGGAATGACACTAGAAAAAAAAACTAGGTGGGCTTTTCCGAGTATTCGTCGCGGATCCTCATGCTCCGCAATTAGACAGATCTAAATTGAACCCGAACCGTGTGGTTTCCGCACATGAAAGTGCATCGTGAGGACATGAGGACACGGACATTCTGGAGAAATCAATGCAGAAATGACTTCATTTCCACGGTCGTTTCGCCATTTTCCCTGAACAATGGCGAAAATCGACACAACCGGTCCTACTCTACCTCACATAAGCGGGTTTATTTACTGTTTGCTTTTAACACTACGTCTTATTAACGACTAACCCCCTACAAAGAAGCATCTTTTCTTCTGTTCTTACCGGATACGGTTGAATTTCCACGAATGGTGGAACCATGAAAAAGCAGGCTCAACAAAGATCGGCCTCACATTAATTGGCTTTTTAAGTTACTTCACTTTATGTGGAACAAGTAGATGAGAAACTTCAAAAACGACAAAGCACCCCAGTCGTAGGACATACAAGTATAACAGTGAATTTCTCGGAATTAAAGTCAAAATCCTAGCGTTAAAATCATGTATGTTAATGGGTAAGATTCTCGGAGCATTTTGGATGAAATTCAAGTCCAACAATGAACCAGAATGACGCATGGCCCCACCATCACATGTGACTTGGTACTGTAATTCGGAACCACTTTTTGTGATAGGTGAACCGAATTCCCCACTCTATGTCAACATTATTTCCTAGAAAGCAAACAAAGAAAAACGCTGTTCCTTTACACTATGCTCGAAGACATTATTTTCACTGTTTAGAATTGTTCTTCGAAGATAGCATTACGTTAGTCGGTTCTATGCAGAGCTCTGAAGAAGGAGACGTCGACGAAGTGCTAGCCATTCTGGTTATGCGGGCCCCAGCATAATCTCCATTTTTCGGAAATTTACTAGTTAAGCGGCCGTGTTTCCCTGAAATTCTGAGGTCAGCCTGGCTAAACTCTGCCACAGGACTTCACCACCACAGGAAGTGGCAGTGCTTATGGATCAGAGGGATATTTGCTACCATGCGACTTTAATACCAGGACGGTGGTGGATCGTGGTATTGGTTTACTCTTAGCCAGGCTTCTTGATGGAAACGCCAGACTGCTTCTCAGCTTGGGAGACCATGCCAGGGGATGAATTCACCGCTATACATCGCAGTCGGACACAAAGGAACATCTCTCAGCCACGATAAGGCGGTAAACCATTGGGAGGATTATTCAGCCCTAGGAACAACAAACAGGAGGACTAGTGACGTTTAGCCTAACTTGACGTTTGACCAGCTCCAAAATTCTCACATGAGTCTGGTCCAATAAATAAATCCCTCTCCTACTAGAAACCCAATAAGCCAGACAGTACTATATCCATCCATTTTCCTACATGACATAGTCTGGTGAACTCCCTATGAGTCCTTCCTGCAAAAATTGCAAAACTTATTAAGTCTCCTAGAAAAACTATGATGGTCATCTCTATTGAGCAAATATAACTCACTGTATAAGTCCGGAAAATTATCGCTACAAGTCCTTTTTCATATCAGAGTAAACCAAAGTTTGCTTCACCAGTTTCGATATTATGAATACATTTGAAGTGATGAGTTCCTGTATTGATAACTAGAAGAACATGATAAGGGATATAAATACTCGACTCTCTTAACGGTTTACAACCTCATCGCGGCTGAGAGGTGTTCCTGGGAGTGGGGGTGCGATGTACAGCGGAAGTTCATCCCTGGCAGGGTCTCCTAAGCTGGAAAGGGATCCGGAGTTTCCTCCAGGTAGGCTAGCTAAGAGTAAACCGATATCGGGATCCGTCACCGTCCCGGCATCAAACTAGTCGCGCGGTGGCACATCTCCCTCTGATCCACAAGGACGGCGACTGACTGTAGTGTTGACGATCTGGGCAGCCTTTAGCCAGGCTGACTTTGCGACTGCGGGAAACCGCAATGGCTAATCCATCAAAACTTTGTCTTCATAAGAAGTGGTAAGAGTAATTTCACACACCACTTTTCTTCGGACCAACTTTTTTCAAAGTTAATAAAATCGGTTCTAATTATGGAAGGAACACAGCCCATTCCGAATTTAATTACTATTTTATCATTGTAAGACAGTTTTGTCCACGAACTCTATTAATAGAGGGAGAAACTAATTGACTATGGGATAGTCTTATAATTAATGAAGTTAGTACTAGTCATTGAAATAATTCCAAACCTACTTCATTACTTTTAGAAACCAATTTATTAACCTTTGAAAGGATATCGACTTTCTAAATTTTGTGCACAAGTTAAGTAAAGAACACACAATAGAATTATTCATAAAACACTGTGAAATAAAACTAAAAACTCTTCGAAAAAGAATAAGGTAGACCATGATAGGCAAATATTCTCTGAAAAACTTACATCGAACATTGAATTTGTCTTGTTAACAGCAGTAATAACCACCCACTTGGAATTTGGAAGAATTATTGCCGCAAGCAGGAAATATCCCATGAATTCATAAGGCCTGAATGTAATGAAATTGTGAGAACGCTCTGGCACGATCATGTCGGTATTTCAAGTAAAAGTACCCTGAACAAGAATTAAGCATTCAACTTGAGCAGAGACCACAATTCCTCAGACCAATATAATCACCTTGGTGGACGATGGCTGCAAGACAGGAACGAAAGAAAAGGTGTCGGGCTTCTGACAGCATATAATATTGGCCAGCTACGTGTCTAATTGCAGTATTCCTAGTGCAAAACATGAGGACATTGCGAGATAAAAACACAATTGATGGCTAGTAAATTGTCTTCCAACGAGAATAACTTAGTAGGCACCGCGATTTCCCTTTTCCTCACAATAAGAATGCCCGACAAGCTCCACTCTGCAGCTGCGTTTCTCGGTCTCCTCATCAACAGTCGCAGCCATTTAATAACCGAGTTTGGGCAAAGCAATCAAACATTGTGTGCTGCGTGCTTGTCTTGTCGCAATGTAGATATGTAACCTAGTTCAAAACTTGTTAAAAATGCTAGGGTACGACCAATGAACACGTCAATGGAGTCGACGGTACTTTCTAGACCAGTTACTTTAGTGGTAATATTCGACAAGTAGTGAACGGGTGCGTGTAGTTCAGTGGTTAGAGGTCCTCTGCAAACAAACACGTACTCCTTAGTTCGATCTCTTAAACAGAGCTAGCCAGGCCAGCCATGTTTTCTGCGTTCGTGAATTGATACCAGACC